TAGGGAGGTTTTGACAAAGATTTCTAAAAATTAATTACTATAGAAAATCAAGTATTTGTAGCACATTAGACAATAGACTACTTTTCAGAACTGATGCTATAGTATTTTTACTTACTGCATGACTGAAGAAGAATCAGACTCTGTGGTTAGAAGAAATTCTTCAATATGTATTAAAGGCCAATCCCAAATTAAAGTAAGAGAATAAACATCCCATATGCTTAAGATATTCTAGGAAAGAAAAAACACAACAGATATGGGTTTCCTCTTTTTTTTCATTGAGGATATTTTTGGTCTTTATTGAGCAGAATATTAAAGCTTAAGTAAGGACAAAAAAACCCCTCAAACAGTAAGATCAAGATCCTCAAAATAAGCATCTTTATTTAATAGAAACATATTCTAAAAGTCATTTTAAGAAAGAGGCTCTTTCAAGAGCACTGTAAAATGAAGACTAAACCAAACTGTTGCACCTACCTCTGTATCTAAAACAAACAGCAGATTGTCAAGAACTTGAAGTTTCACTGCATCTAAAAGAAATTATACATAATCATAACAATTTATTATTTTTCTTAAAGTGTATTTGAAGCAAAAACAATTTCCATGACCACCAAGCATTGGAAGCAGACGTTTATCTTCACAGACCTGAGAAGTTCCATTAGCATTTTTACTAAAACCAGCAAGATACTTGAAAACATCTTATTTACTGCAGCTACATATAAATTCCACACTTGTCTGTAAAAACAACTAAAAAAATGTCTTTACCTTTGATCAGACTTGAATCAGCAAAGCTTCGAACAGACACAAGGTTGTTGGTAGTGTCTACCTCCCATTTGGAGAGTACATAACCTCCTTTACCCTATTAGTAAAAGTAAAGTGATGTAGAATTTATGGGCTTACATATTATACATGTGACCAGATTTACCTCTCCAATTGACCTTTAACTTACAAAACACTTGAAAAATTGCAAGACTAACTTAAACTTCATTTTCAGTTGATATTGATGTGCAGAAAAATGCTTTTTAATTTAGCCTCTTTTCAACAATGTTCTTTACTATAGTAATCGTCTCAGTCTGCATTTCAAAACCTCAGTTTTTCATTCCTTCAGAATATAAAACTTATATGTACTCTGAGCACACTGAGGAGTGTTGCATTGAAGTCATCAGGTGTTGGACAAAGTTAATGAACTCTAGAAACTTATTTCCAGTCCAAAATAATATTTCAAAATTGCTCATTTATAATTTTTATTAATTTCTATTCTTGATGTTAAAGTGTTTTGTGCAACTATATACTACTGTTTTGCAGCCTTAGTTGAGTGTTGGAAGATTTTTCCTAGCTTTGGTCTTCCAAGCCCTAAAGCATGACTACAAATAGTCTACCCCTGTACAAGTTAGGAACCACAGTGATTTACTAAGGTCATACAGCCAGGGTGAAAATATTTTCCCTCATACCAGAGAGTTCTGAAATAACAGTAGTTTCCTTACTAAAAAAGACTGCAAAATTGATAACTTTTAAATTTACAATGAAGGAAATTAAAGATAGTGGAAGAAATCTGTTCTTTTTAAACCAGCTAGACATAAATTTTGTTGTAGATTAACAAATGCTATCACTGATCCATGATCATTGATCAAACAATTCTTACAAATATGTTATTACTACTTACCCCAATTACCATGTGGATTTTATTTGCCAAATTACTTATCACAGAATTCTGACAGCCAAGGCTGTGATATTCCTCTGTGGCAATGAAAGCTGTCTTTATCTGTCCTTGTAACTATTGGGGCAGAGGATGGAGGGAAAGCAAACAACAGAAAAGAAAAAGTTACCTATAAAAACAGTAGATACATTCTGAACCTCTCACTTCTCTGTGAACATGAATTACTTTTTCTTTTTTATGAACTGTAATAATAAACTGGTAAGTTTCCAATGGAACACAAAATAAACTCTTGTTACAAACTTTGCACTTTAACACGGATGTTAAAGTTATGTTTCTTACCTTTGTTGCTGCAGTCATATCCATCTTATCAATTGCTATGTTAAAATAATATAAAAAACACATCAATGTTAAATAAGCTTTTGAAAAATAAAATTCAAAAAAGCCACTGAACATCATATAGGATAGTATAATCCTAGCCTGACTATTCTGAAAGAAAGGTGAGCCACTAACCTTGACAAGATCTATTTCTACTGATCACAATATGTAGTTTCAGAAAATCGTAACTGTGCTTACACAGCTGTAAAAATTAAACTTGTTATCAGTATTCCTCAGTGCAGTTCAAACTGATATTATGATATGAAATTCTGCTTCCATAATGTTCATTACTTTTCTCTAAAGCAGTAAATAATGAGAACACAAGCTGAAGAAATTACTGGGTGAATTTAAAAATACTTTTTTATAAACTTAGCTATACACCGGTTTCTCTTTACAACCAAACTAAGGCTACATAAACAACCCCAAATCAACATCTTAACCCCAATAGAAAGATGCATGTAAAAGATCTTCAATACCTCTCTACCTGCTCAAACTGAAATCCCAGTTGGTTTGTAGATTATCTTACCTTCTTGTGTTTTAGCAAGTGGGAGGTGCATAATGCAAAAGAAACCCTTGCTCGTGAGAACAAACGTATGATAAACACCTAAAAAAGCAACAAAGAAAACAACAAACCATCAACACAATACAACACATATTTTGAACGGAATATTCACTAACTGTAAAGGGACTACTTGCTTAAAAATAGGAAACTGAAATAATTGATAAGAAAGATTCAATCTTTCTCTTACTTTTTACTCAACCTCAAGAGAAGGAGGTGTTGACTTTTGACTGTCTGTTGTTTTTTATGCCAGTCTAAAATAGCTAAATATCATAGGAAAGTAACTCCCTCATATCAATAAAATATTATTTCAAATAGTTTGGATTTCATGATCAGTTAAGAAACAGCTAGACAAAAAACCCACATTGTGAAAAAGTGATATGATTTTACATCTTTCTGAAAGTCTTTCCAAAATTTTCAAAGACCTTCAGATAAGGTCCACTGATCAAAAAGTACATCTAACATTTGCAATGCAAAGAGTAAACTGTATCTGCTTATCTTTTTTGTAGCCTCCTCTTTAGAGATGTTAAAAAGGGAACAAGATCGCAAATAATGAGGCAAGAAAAGTTATCAAAATACTTACCTGCAACTGCTGCATCTTTTTCGATACAGAGATTTAAGTAGGTCTTTTCACTTGAAGATGTTTCAACCAAAATCTAAGATGGAATCAATGAATCAATATTTGTGTGTTTCATTTGAAAAAAAAATCTTCATTTGAAATACGGTTCACCAGTTTAAATTTTAATCTTTTTTCTTTCACAAAGAACTCATGGTTTATAGGTAACATTCCTTGTTGTATACCTGCACAGAACATATGCTAAATAACTTATACACAATTTTTCTTGTGTATAACTTGTTATTTATAGCCAAAAAAAAGTCCCTTTAATCTGGTTGTTTGCTCAAACTAAAAGACTTGTTCAAAACACAAGAATATTTCTATATAGGTATATGGGAGAAAGAAACAATAACAAAACAAACAAACAAAAAATAACAAGAAGTCCTGAGAACAAAAGATTTGGAATAAAGTTAGGATAGAACAGTTACTGTACCTTAGTCAGCAAGGTTTTTTTTGATGGAATATGAATAAGATGGATATTGCCACTTCTCTCACCAACCACAAGGAATTGTTTTTCTTGACACATACCAACCACATCCACATTAGTATCTGAAAAGTTCCATGGCGTGATGTCAGCTATTAAGATTTTTTTATTAGCAGACATGCATATTTGTAACACAGAATGTGGGCAATACAGCATTCCAGATTTCTACAACAGTATTTACTTTGATAAAACTAAGTACAAGGGCACAGAATGAGTGGCTTTGCTCTCCACGATTCCCACTGCCGTGAAAAGTTAACAAGCATTCTAATTAAGTTGTACAGGAACACTTGGTTAACGACATACAGAATCCCATTTCATTATTTAGTTATTTGTTGCAACGGTTTATCTTGCAGGGCAGATATTCCAGATAACTGACATGCTTTCAAGAAGAGCACTTTTTAAATTTGTTTTGAGTTTGAGCTGAATTCTAAAATAGTGAACTTACCAAACTGAATGTGCAGCTGCAGAGCCTGCCCTGTGCTGTCAAGAAGTACCACCGATCTGTCAACAACAATAATGCTGCCATCCTTTGAGCTGCATGCATACAGCTGAGGATTAACTGAGACCTGAGAATAAAAAGATTGTTACACATAATAACTGAAACACTTCAGATATACGACAATGTTCCTCACATATATGAGAAACAAAAACACAGCCCTGAGGAATTCTACCTTTTCTGAAGATGTTATTTGAAGCAGTGAGTCCACTTGGTACAAGGCACTGCCACATTCCTGGCCTAAGCACACAGAGAGCTGCTCTCTTCTTGTGTCGTCGTTCACCAGAATTTCAATATCATTCCACATTCTCACCTACGATAATCACATAAGCAAGAGAGCTTTAAGAAAATTAGAAGACTGCCTATAAATCATTGGCTCTGTTGTGGTTCTGCCTCTAGGAGGAAATACAGTTCTTAAAGGCACGTTGAAAAAAGACAACATTTATATCTCAAGAGCAATTGAAGGGCTGCCCAGCTGATCGCTAGGGCAGGCCGAGATGAGGAGGGGTTTTGTGCCGTATGCTGGGTACGTACCCCTCCTCGCCTCACAGACACCCCCTGGACCGCAATCTACCCCCCCACTCCCGTCACCACAGCGCAGAAGCTGCCAACATACCAGCACACTCAGCCGCCTTAGACTTTCAAATTGGCGGGAGCGCGGCAGCCACTACGGGTCGCGGCTTGGGCCAAACTTCCTCCAAGTGCGCGAGCGCACACGCGTTGCTAAGACACCGCCTGGCTCTTCTACCTTCCCAGCATGCGCTGCGGCCCCTCGTTCCTCCGCCTGCCCCTCCCGCTGTTACATCCGGGCACCTGACGGATAGAGGGAGGGTGGGGCGCGTTGCTTCGGTTGGTGCGTGCCGCTGTTGAGGTGACTGCGTCGCTGCGAGAGGGCTGTTGAGGAGAGCGGCAGCCCGGGCGTTCGGTCATGGCGGTAAGCGGTGATTTTTGGAGGGAGCCGAAGCGTGGAGTGCGGCACGCAGGGAGGGAGGAGTGCGGTGTGGGAAGGAGCGGGTCTGGAGCTCTGTGCGCGGAGAGACAAAATGGCGCCCGCCGCTCCTTCGCTCGCCGCCGCCATGATGGGCCTCGGGGAGGGGGTGGCCGCGCTTCGAGCAGTACTTCTCTTCCTGCTTCCAGAAGTTTCTTCGTCGTCTTTACGGGTTTGGGGAAAGTTGCGGGGGTTTTGTGGCTTCGACTTCATCGTTTCTTGGTCTGGGAGAGGAGCGCAGTGGCTGTGGCGGAGGGCTTTGCTCCAGAGAATCGTGGGGCTCAGGCTCTGGGGGCAGGGGGTGAGGGAGCGGTCGGGCCCTCCTCGCTTCTGGGTCACGCAACTTATTATATTTCTTCACATCTCGTGTTTTAGCGTCTGCTTTGTTTATTGTCTCCTTGTCCCCCTTTTTATGGTTAACTTCTTTGTGGAACTTCTCTGCTGTAGTTGTCTGCTTAGGATCTACAAACGAGGTAGCGTTTCATATATAGGCGGAGTGTGGCTTTGCTCCTATTTCACGTTTTTGTGGCCTGGTGTAAGGGTGTTTGCCCCATCGCTGGGTTGAATCAGTGAGAGTAGATCAAAAACCAACACGATTTGTTTTTTCTGAAGCTATTTATTTGCCTTAGAAGTGCACGGAAAACAGAAGTGCTAGCATGATAAAGCTCTTTCCAGTTAACTTTTAAGTAGTTTTCTTTTGCATCAAATCTGATATTTCTTGTTCTGTTTTGCTATTGGTCAGATTTTTAGGATAAGAATAACAACAACAAAAACTTCTGGAGAAAGCTCACCCTTTTTCTCCCCTGGAAAAAGATACCTTTTCTGTTTACATAATCACCTAACCTGGCTTTTTTTTTCCCTGTAAAAAAAAGTCTTGAAGAACAACTATGGGCTTCTCGCTTTGCACCTAAATTACAAGTACTTTTAGGTTTGTCCAAGTACTGGGTGAGGTGCTGATCCAGTGAAGTCCTGTGGCCGTTCTGCCAGTTCTTGAGGAACTGAGAATAGTCTCATTGAAGCCTGTCAGCTTTTTTTGTTGTTGTTGTTCTATTTTTCTAGAGCTGAAAGAGCACAAGAGCATTAATAAGCAGCAGTGTGTACAGAAAGCAAGAGCAGTAATCTACGGAAAGGTGGCAGCTGGAGAGTACTTTCAAAACCCAGTTAAGATAGACTGTTGGCTGGTATTTTCCTTTATCCTTCTCAAGTAACATCAAATGTCGTTTCATGGAATTCTCAAAATTCCTTTAAAACTTAAACTAGCAGAGTTTTTTGAAAACCTTAGATGAAATAAAGGGAAGGGATTGAGTACGAAGGGAAAAAGAGAGCCTAGAGGATAACTATAAACAACATTGTTTAGAAGAAAAAAAAAAGTAGTGATCAGTGTTGAATTCCATTTTAAGCCCTAAAATTCTCATGGAAAACAAGTGAGGTGCAGTTTAATGGAGTGGGAGAGCAAAATGTTTATTATGTATCAGTTCTTAATGAAGTTTTGAAAAATAATCGCCATTATTTAGTTCAGTGCCCATCTGTCCAATTATTGCCTAACTGATAATGAGATGGCAACTCATGGAGTTGACTCCATAGATGAAAAAAAAAAGTCATCAGAGAAAGTACTAAATAAATAATTTTCTTGTTTTAAAATTCTAAAGTTTTGATTCTTAAACATTCTGTCCTTGTGTGTAGGGTAGTGATACCGAACGAGATGGAGTAGTCCCAGAAAAGTCCTCTCCAGAAGGGGAGAAGAAAAAGGAACAATCAGATGCTTCCAGTTCTCCCAGAACATCAAAGCATCACTATTCAAGATCGCGTTCACGGTCAAGGGAAAGAAGGCGGAAGTCAGGTATGGTCTTCAAATAAGTAAAGTTGCTTAGTACTGTTCTGGTGTTTTGTTTTTTTTGCGGTTTGTTTTTTGCTTTCATACAGTTGATTATTGTATGCTTGCGGAATTCAAAATTTCTTTAAGTACATTTTGAAAAACAAAATATTAACTGTTCTATTAACTTTATGAAATTGAAAGAAAAATAAAGCTGTTAATTTTGATTTTGCATCTTAAATGCATTATTTTAAAAGTTTAAATAATGAAGTCTTGAGGAAGAAGGTCTTATTAGTATTCAGAAGATATGGTGAGGTGGCTAATAATAAAGTGGTTCCAGGAAACAAAACGAACCCAGAAAACCATTCTACTCTCTTTGTTTTAATTATGTTTGGTTAGACAGGAATGAGATTAACTGGCCAAAAAAGTAGAATGTGACTTAAGTATGACATGGATTTATTTATTGTTGTTAGAGCTTAGATGCAAAGAAAGTACTGTAATGATTAGAATTCAATTTCTGCAGTAGGTGATCAAATAGTACTGTTGGTGTTGTGAGTCTCTTTTTGGCTTAGCGTGGTGAAGTATCTGAAAGGAACTTGAGAGATTATAGTCAGCTGATCATTTCTTTAATGTTGTAAATGACAAAAAATACCTTCTTCTCCAGATGCTGAAGGAAGAAAACACAGAAGCCGGAGCAGAAGCAAAGAGGTAATTAACACTTTGTAGTGATTAGGTAAATGTACAGTACATGTATGAAGTATCTTGTAGTAATGCACATATGTAAACCTATATAAGTGACTTTTATGGTAAGTACACTAAATTGGAAACTTTAAGCTTAAAATGGATATGGAGATCCTTTCATAGTGAAGCATGATTGCAGCCGTCATGTTGACAAGGTAATAGTTTTATAGCAAATCGCTTTCAGAAACTAGTAACTTAAATTCTTTTTTTTTTTTTTTTTTTGGTGGAAACAGCCAATTGAAAGAGTTCATATGGAGAAGTAGAATGGTGTTCTTGATAACTTTCACAGAGCTTCCATTAACCAAAAGCCTTGGGTGGCTTTATTCCTGTCTAGTGTTCTGGACTTTGAATAATATGTACCAGTTTACTTAAGAATATTAAAAACAATTATCCACCTGACTGAGGTCTGTTTATTGCATCCTTTAACTATAAAGACTGTCATAGCCTGACAAACAAGCTGGTCAGCTGGAAACATGACAGTAGCAGCAAAAATTTCAGAAGGCTGTCTCTTTCTTTTTGAAAAGAAAAATATATGTGCACAATTGTTAAATATATATATACAGGGATGCAGTAATGCTTTGGAGATAACTGGCTTACGCATCAGAGAAGAGATGAAATGAATGAACCAGGACCATCAGAATAGAAAGGAAGCTCAAGCCTTGTGGGGCAGTAGCAGGCTGGGTCAGACGAGGGACTTCAAACTTTAACCTGGGTCAGGAACTTCTCCTTCCCCGATTCCAATGGAAGCTCTGTTTTGTTTTTTAAAAAAAATAAAAATTAAAAAGAAGGAAAAATAATCTAGGAGAGTTTTTGTGAAAATGAATATATTGTTTAGCTCACATGATAACATTTCTATAATAAATCATACTCAGCGTGCTAATGCGCGAAGAGACTGAACTGAAGACGCTGCAGACTCAGATAGCAAAATTATAAGCCTACTTCATGATAAGGTAACTATTAGTCATTCAAACTCATATTTCCCTTAAAAGTATCTTAAATCCGTTATGGGATATAATGGTGTTTATTACTAAGTGTGTGCCTGGAAGACTGGTTTAAAAAAAAAAATCATCGAAAAAAAACAAGCTTATTTTAATGTTCTGAAAAAAATGTCCTTGTTTAAAATTGTCCAGTGTTTTTAGCATTCTGTTAGATCTAATCTTAAACAATTTATTTAACGCTTTCTAAATTACACTTTGAGGATATTAACTGTGTCCCAGGGTAGATTTGTTGTTTTCATTATTTGCAAGATGAAGCTGGTTGTGTGTAGACTAATCAGTAGTTCTTTTCAGTGTATGTAACAGAGCAGCTACTTAGATGAATAGATACTAAGATACAAGTAACATCCTGCACTATTCACATGTTTTTCTGTAGCAAGTAGTTCCTCAGGGAGTTGCAGTAAAATACTCTAGAAGCAGGAAAAGATATCTTAACATAGCACATCTAGATGTGAGTAATAATTGAATATATGGGGAATTTGAAATATCTTAATAAGGAATTGATCTATGTGGATATGAGCTAGTTACTGCATCTTCTTCAGACTACAGAAAGATTTTACAAGTATTTAATGTAAAACAGATCTAGATGAGCAAGAAAATGGAAAAGAATCAAGCTTTAGTCTAAAATTTATACATCATCGTGAAAGTGTGACTTGAAAGAAAAACATTAAATGTCAGACTTAAGTGGGCTATGCTAGAAAGAGCTGAAAATAAACTGGGTATATTAAGAAAAGGTGTTGGTGTCATGACTTAGTCTTTAAGGAAAACACTGGCAAAAATCAGGCCTGACCTTGCTAAGTATTTTTGGTATTGCAGCTATAAAAAGAAAATTTTTTTTTTTGAGACACTGCAGGAAGAAATTGCAGTATGGTGGAGCAGCATATCTTTAAGTTAAATCTACTGTGGGAGGTTTTGGAGTGATGCATGTTAGACTTAGACTTAAATACTGTAAATAGGATGTCAACTGCGTAACTTACTGCTTTGCTTTTTACAAACTGTTGGAAGTTACTGACTGAAGAGAGTTTTGTTCTAAAAAACCAATTATCTGCCGATAGAAGAATGTTTTAGTTGCAAAAGCAATATACTATATGTCTGCAACTATCTGTATGGATTCTAATAATTTCTACATGGTAGATTTAGACAAATAATTACAGGTGTGCTTGTGTATCTATATATGTATATATATATTTGTAAATTGTCAGATACTTAAAGATAGGAAAGAGTATACCTATTGAAATGAAAACAGTGATCTAGTTGTTTTTATTATAATGTTGTGAACTCTCATGGAAGTGCTGTAAAGATACCTTGATGGATGCTTTTAAAAATCCTTTAGTGGGGAGGAGGGAAGAGGGGAACAAATAATAGCATACATTTGCAACATTTGGTAGGTGGTGGCATTAGGTAATATAGCCATCACTCATGATTGAGTCACACTCCTAAGGTTACTAATGTTGCATCACAGCTTATCATTTTTTATCTTCTGATACCCATACTAACTCTCTTTGTTGCACTATTTTCCTGAAAGAACCAACTTCTTCTTAAAACAGGCAAGAAGACATGAATCCAAAGAGAAGTCCTCCAAGAAGCACAAATCTGAAGACCACAATGACAAAGAACATTCTTCTGACAAGGGAAGAGAGAGCCTAAACTCATCCGAAAATGGTGAGGATAGACATAAACGCAAAGAGAGAAAGTCATCAAGAGGAAGGAGTCATTCAAGATCCAGGTCTCGCGAAAGGTAGGTTGTTTTATATGATTAATCTTCGGTTGTTTTTTTAAAATACATTCACAAAAAGTGTTGAAAAGTTTGGGTGAGCTGTGAAATACAACTGAGCAATGTTGCTGACCTAATTTAACTCTAAAGCATCAGTTAATATTGTATATTGTATTTTTGTATGACAGTGTTTTTGCTGCTAGTTGTCCTTTTTCCATATTGATTCTGAGTAAAGTTACTGAGTACACATAAGGTTTTTTTTATAGGTTATGCCTCAATGTTAACTCAGGTTTATAACTTAGTAACAGAGTTTGGAAAATCTGTAAGATAGAGTATATTAGATGTTCCCTATTGGCATTGGTGGGAAAGACACTAAAAACTTAGCTGTCATTGCTTTTTGCCTCCTAAATCAGTTGTTTACCCAGAGACATCACTGTCTATGCTTCCTTGCACAGTAGGCCACCCAGCACACACTCAAGGTCATAGAGGTGTTTGGGACAAGCTGTGTTGCCAGAAGAACTTTTCAGTCAATTCTGCTCATACTGGGGTGGTCTGTAACAAACATGACAGCAAGGAACAGGCTTTAGCTGATAATGTACTAAGGGGCTCTGTATGACTCACGAGCTGAAATCTGGGCATCTCTTCTCTAAGGTACTAGAATACCATGGGGAGGAGGGAAGTTATCTTGCATTGCATTTTAAGCTTTAACAGATTATTTTGGCCATACGTTTGTTTCTAGATACACACTTTAATGAACAAACAAAAATAGCTGTATTCATGAGTATGATTATTTACTTAAACTCTTCATAAATCACTTGTGGCTGATGGTAGTGTGCTATTACTCCTAGTTCCAAGCTGTTCCAGGCATGGGCTATTAAATGTTTACAGTCCCCTCTACCTTGCTTAATGCATTCTGGCCTGTGACAAACCTGAACGTAAGTTTTCAGGTAAAATATGAATTTAAACAAGAGGAATTTTGGACCTGTGTTTCAGACGCCATCGCAGTAGAAGTCGTGATAGGAAAAAATCCCGATCTCGCAGCAGAGAGAGAAAGCGCCGTGTGAGATCTCGTTCTAGATCAAGATCTAGGCACAGACACAGAAGCAGAAGTAGAAGCAGAACTAGGAGCAGAAGCAGGTAAGTGTTAACTTCCATAAATGCTTGGTGGCAATGGGTTGAATGCTCTGTCAAGTATAAAATAATGCTGGGGTTTTGTGTGGCTGTGTTTACTTTTTCTCAGCTGTATTAAGATGGGTTGAAACACAGGGTGGTGTATATTTGGTTACAGAAACAGGTATATTAAACAGCTTATGTGTCTCAGATTTTTATAGCATATTTTCATGTTAGCAGTTAGAAATGCTGAATTCGTTATTTAGAAGTATAATTTAAGAGGAAAACATCATTTTGAGTAGTATAAATACAACAGTTAAAGTTCTTTTAGTTTCTTATATTGCAGCTGACTTTACTATCTTAAATAGAAATGATATTTAAGTAGGAAAAAAATAGAATAAAATGCAGCTAATACTTTCAGATGTTTTGTATGAGAGTAGTGTGGTTGGCAGAATTCTATTTTAATTATCACTTTTTCTGTGTGTTTACATGTTATGAGAGTAACTGAGAACAACTAGCTGGTGGAGCATCTGATCAGTGTATTTGCTAATCCTGACCAGCTCAACAAATTTAATTTAGAAATTTGTGGGTTTTTTTCTGTAGAACTAGTGTAGGTAGTGTAGTACGTGGGTGAACTGAGAGTCAGATGGACTGATTTGATCTATGTTCTATTCTGTTGGTGATTACAAACTTTTTTTGTTAAGTTCATCATGAGATTGCTTGTTGTCTTCATTTTTCTTGCTCTTTTGGATGCTTTCATTTCTTCCTTAATCTTAAGTTCTAGAAGCACGGGTTGAACCCAGCTGAGTAGATTCTTATTAGTTTGTTCAGTGTCTGTATGCTGTAGTTGAAGTTTTCTTCCCTGCACAAGAATGAATGTTTTTTAGATAGTGATTCATTGTTTTGTTGTAGAGTTTGCAGTCTATTTGCATGTGTCACCTCTGCATTCTTAATGCCCTGAAGGATTTTCTTAATAAGTTGAAATATGACTTAATGATATTATTTGAGGACAGGGTTTTTTGATTCTGTTGGTCTAAAATTAAAAAAAGTATCTTGGATGCAAATTGGTGCCCTTTCAAAGCTCCCAAGAATGTGTTGCCAGTGTTCCAGTTTAATTAGTAACATTCTTACCAGTATATTTCAAATTGCATTTAAATTAAAGACATTAGGTATGACCACTCAATATTACAGTGGACCATTGGAGACTTAAGAATGTAATGCTACAACAACACTTGAGAAACTGTTAAGAAGACTTATCTTTTGGAGGAACATATTGAATTACATGGTTTGTGTCAGATTTTATTTTGCCATGCACTTTCTACCAAACTTTCAGCTGGGGTGAGTAGCCTGGTATAAACACATTATTTATGCTTACTGGTATCTGAGCTACCTTTAGCATGATTTGTAAGGCTTCGGTTTCCTATTATTTCTGGTTATTATATTATGTACATTTAAAGTTTTAAAATGTCACTTTAAACTCTTTATTTATTGGCTCAGTGAAAATTTCACTTCTCAGAATTATTATTTTTTACTTCTGCAGTAGAATTCAAATTAACCTGAAAAAGAGCAACAGTTGCAGGAAGTAGTAAGGGATAGTCATAGCATAGGAGTTTCTTCAACTGGGACTGTGCATTAATGGCTAGTGTTAAATAAATACACTGCAGGAATCCATTTGAGTATTGTTTTGTCTGACAGGTATTAGAGAGGGAAAATAAGCAAGGTATGATTCCTGAACAGTAGCCAGAACCACTACATCAAGCTCTGGACTCAGGTGGTGTCTTTGGAGCAGTAGTTATAGATCTAGGAAAGCTCTTCACAAGCAAGATAAACGTGTTCTAGAAATGAAGCTTGCAGAAACAAAACCGTGAAATGAATTCCTTCATTCATGAAATGCAGTATTTCCTGTGTTGCAGTTCACAGGCTGTGACAGTGGCATTTCTGAATAGTAGTTTGATCTTACCTTGGAGGTTCTTTGTGCAACTTCAAGCTTGCATTTTCAAGTCATCTGTCTTCACTAGTGTTTAAAGTAATCTTTTGTTCTCTGAGCCCATAGACCCTTCTGGTAGTTATTTTGTTGCATTGATTGAATACAAGATGGAAAACGTGAAGACATCTGCTTGTTTCAAATGAAAGTACTTAAATAGAAAAGCTCAAATATTTATTTCCTTGATGTTTACCAGTGCAGTAAAGCATCAGACCAAAGACAAGACCAAAGTACAATAGTCCTCACGGCAAAAATGAAGGTATCTTTGAAACATGCATTACATCTTATCTCAGGAATGCAGATCTGTCACTTCCCAGTGCCTGATTCTGCATCTTGTCGTCTTCTATTAAAAGATAAGTCTCACTTCTTTTGTATTCTACCAGATTTGTCATGTAAACAAGGATCTCTTTTGTAACTTCAGACTGCATTTCATGTTTGTGGATGCTGCACAAGTTGCAAACAGAAGAAATGGAATAGATGAATGCCATTTACAGTGACTTTACTCAAGTTAGTTGCTACCACAGACGGTTCATAACTTTAAAGTATAAAATGGCAGAAATATCCTTTGTGCATTTTTAACTTAGTATTGATGGCAAATCTGGCAATTCTCTTGTAATTTCAACTTTGCATCCAGAATTGGTGACTTTTTGGTTCAGAACATCACTCAGAGGCTTAAAAGCAGTAAAAGTTTATCTCTTGTAATGTTGTTCTTAATAATCTTAGCAGGAAAAAAAAGAAAAACAACCATAACAACTGCTAATGATACTTCTATGTATTTTAAATGGCTGTTGCTTAAAAGAAACTTGATGTATGTGTCAAAAGGGCAGCTTTTACTTGAGAGAAGGTTTTTAAACGATAGATGCAATGAATATTTTGGTGTTTTGTTTAAACATATTTTTAAGCAATCGTTTGTCAGCCTTCAGTTAAGGCATGTATTATAGTCCTCTGCACAGGTAGTGTCCTTTTCCAGAACTTACAAGAAAAATCAACTCTCCTGTCTAGTTTAATATCTTCACTCAAATAGCTCAGAGAACATCTAGTGACAAATATACAGAAAGGAGAAGAATAGCAATTCCCCTGAGTATTATTAGAGTTCTTAACTCAGGGCAATTTACAGTATTCACCTCCAGCATAATTATAATGCTGTTGTATCTTTTGTTTTAAAGCCTTCTTGTGCCTTGATCTATTTTAGTTTTCTTGCAGTTGACATGCAAAAAGTTATGTCATGTTTTTTCTCGCCAGGAGTTAGAATAAAAATCTCTTATACCGAGTGAAAGGGTAAATAAATACTTGGAATTACATATTGTTAGAGCTTGCAGTTGAAAAAACTCAGTTTTAACATTGTCTTGTTACTGTGCAAGTGTGACCATTACACTATTGTAGTATAATCTGTGGGACAGCTGTTCTTGAAAACTCTCAAGTTACTTTTTGAGTCATGATTGATGCTCTATTATATGTAGATTCATTGTTTTAGCAACTGTCTTAAATTTGGTTACAGAGAACGAAAGAAAAGAATTGAAAAGCCCCGCAGATTCAGCAGGAGTCATAGCCGGAGTCCAAGTCCACCACCTTTTCGAGGTCGAAATACAGCTATGGATGCACAAGAAGCATTAGCCAGAAGGTCAGAAATTGTTACTATTTTAGTGGTATGTAATATGAATAATCTGTTCCTCTTTGATTTTGCATGTTTCAATACTTTCATTCTCATGTTTTTTGTAGGTTGGAAAGAGCAAAGAAATTGCAAGAACAGAGAGAGAAAGAAATGGTTGAAAAACAGAAGCAACAGGAAATGGCTGCAGGTAATCTATGTATATTAATTTCTGAAGAATAATGTGGGTGGAAGATAACACAATGTTGAGTGTTTGAAGCAATCATAGAATTACTAGGGTTGGAAAAGGCCTCAAAGGTAATCAAATCTATCTATCCACCTACCACTGGTATTTCCCCACTAAACCATATCCCTTAGTACCACATCTGAAAATTGCTTGAACACCTCCAGGGACAATAATGTACAGTGTTACAGTCCTGTCCAATTGATGTACAGGTTGTCAGGTTGTTCATTTGTAAGAACGTGTTTCATGTGCAGATTTGTCATATGTAAGAAATGCAAGTGGAACAAGGAAATGGAAGGGTGGAAAGATATCACACAAAAAAAATCCAACCAAAATGTTGCCTGTTAGGCTGGCTGTCATGGTCATTGGACCTTCCCCATATACATCATTAAGCAAGAGTTTGAAAGCTGTTACCCACACAAGGGTATTTAAAAGCATGAGTTATGATTCTTCTGGCTTACTAAAATGTGTTGGAGACTTGTTTCTTAATTTATAAATATCATATTTTGTTTTGTTTTCAACTTACTGCTGTGAATGGAAGTGGGTTTTTTGGGGAAGAAAAAATGACTGAACTTACTAACAATTTACCATTGCTTTCTTTAGCAGCTGCAGCCACTGGAGGTTCTGTTATTAATGTTGCCGCTCTTCTGGCATCGGGAACACAAGTAACTCCTCAAATAGCAATGGCAGCTCAAATGGCAGCACTACAAGCAAAAGCACTAGCAGAGACTGGAATAGCTGTACCTAGCTATTACAACCCAGCAGCAGTGAATCCAATGAAATTTGCTGAGCAAGAGAAAAAACGAAAGATGCTTTGGCAAGGCAAAAAGGAAGGGGTAATGTCTTTTCTTACTTTCGTAAAACTTGCTGGAAAACATCTTGCATTTCTGAACTGCTTAGATGTTCAGTGATAAATGCTAGTGACATAAGCCCTAGAATTATGCCTGTGTAAATTTTAGGAAGTATAATTGTATCCTTATGTTGATTTTTGTTAGTAAACAAAACTTGCCACTAAATATCGGATGTGGATGGTCTCTCTTTTATTGAGAAATGCTGGTAATGTTATAAAGTCATATGTATTTTCTTTTCCATAATTTTAGGCATGATTTCTGACATAATGAGTACAGTCTACTCAAGTAAAGTATATACCTCATTTTGAAACCTGTGTAGTTAAGCACACACTTCCCTCACAAAAAAATTTCTGTGGAGATGCTACAAGAATGCCACTGGAAATATTTTGCCTTTGGCTTTGCTACAGCTATACAACAGTCCGATTTTTAATACAGCTTTTCTTTGCTTGTTACTATATTGTGATATTAACAGAAATACATATAAAAAGGTGATAAATCTTTTTTTTTCTTTTGTAATTTGCACAGGATAAATCACAGTCTGCAGAAATATGGGAAAAATTAAATTTTGGAAACAAGGACCAAAATGTCAAATTCAGAAAACTGATGGGCATTAAGGTAAAGAGTTCTGAATGTGTAGTTAAATTTATTATAGTGGATTTGGTTTTTAACTTTAAAGGGTGCCTAAACCAGTAAGGATAGGTTAACTGGTTACTGTGTGATCTAATTAAAAACAAATTATTTCTCATTAAAGATCACACAAGGTCCTAAACTAAATTCAGAGTCTAGAATTTCATGATATTTCTTGCATCTGTTATGCTCCGTGAGAACAGTCCTAACTGTAACCAATATTCATCATCTAATGAATGTTCAGACGTGATAGCTCTGTATAGATGATTAAATGGAGGTGTTAATTTGAATGAATTCAAAAGAGGAATTTGAAGGCTTTAAGCATTTCTTAGCAGTGAGAGCAAAAGCTATACTGGACTTGTTACAGCAGCAAAAGCAGGTGCCTGTTGTTTTAAAAAGCTCTTAAGAATTCAGAATTACAGGGAGTTTAGGCTAGCTGTAGCATATGAAAATACCATTTCCTACAAAGCTAATACTTTGCTTTCTTCTGCTTTCCAGAGTGAGGATGAAGCTGGCTGTAGTTCAGTTGATGAAGAGAGCTACAAAACGCTGAAACAACAGGAAGAGGTTTTCAGAAATCTAGATGCACAGTATGAAATGGCAAGATCACAGACGCATACACAGAGAGGAATGGGGTTGGGGTTTACATCTTCAATGCGAGGAATGGATGCGGTTTGAATACAAACAACTTTAAAGTTTGGGACTTTGGAAGGTTCTTGTTCAAATGTTGGGTCCTTGTTCACCAAAAAGCTAGCATTCTAGCTTGCATGGGTGTTGCATTGACTTTAATTTATTGATAAATACAATTTTTTTTGTAAATATCAGATCAGTGATACTGGTGTTAGTGTTGTAATCAGGTTATACCCACTTCCATTAAACTTGACAGAACTATAGAAGGACAGTATTTTTTAGTTAAAGTTCTACTTTTCAAACCAAGCAGCAGATGGGATGAACTCATACATGGATATTTGGTGTCCACTGTCTTGTGTACTTTTGTACTTTAACCTTGTACAGTTATTTTCGATTCTTGAAACATGAAAGAAACATTGTGTAGATGTTATTTAGCAGTCTGGGCCACTAGGCACATAATCCAGCACAAAAACCTGGTTAATAATAAAGAAGTTTTTTCTCTAAGGTCTTACTATATGTTAATCAAGTTGTCTTTAGGGCAGAACTCAGAGGAAACTCAGGAAGGGCTCAGAGGAAGTCAGAAATAGAGCATTTGTTTTGCTTTGCCTATTTGGAAGTACAGTTTTCCTAAAATAAGGAATTTGCTGAGGAATACTGAACTCATGCCTCCCTTTGTGAGTTGGGCTAATTTTTTTTCCACTATTCAGAGTTCTTGAAGTGCTGGCAAGTGTTAGGTTTCTTTTTTATGGAATGTATTAAAAAAGAAAAGAAAAAAACCTAAACTGCTTTAATGTTATATAAACGTGTTTTGGAAGGATACCTTAATCTGGGGACGGTTTGGATGCAGTCTTAGTGCGGGCGTTCTATTGAAAGAAGTGGCGCGGTGCTGCGCCCTGCTGGTGCTGCTATTTCTGCTCTCTGCAGAAAAAGAAAAAAGGCGGGAAGGCAGATGGCACCGCAGGTGGTTCCTGCAGGCTGCGCCTCCCGTGCCGGCGGAACTCATCCTCCGCTCGACTACAGCTCCCAGCATGCACAGCGGTGGCGCCCTGGCCGCAGTGCATGCTGGGGGCCGCGGTCCCGCGGCTCCCAATAGGGCGCGCGGCGCCCTTCGCCCCTCGGCGGCCTTCCGGCGCTCCCCGCGCCCCGCCCTTCCTGCTGCGGCTTAAGATGGCGGCCGAGGTGGATTTCGGGGATCGCGAGCTCTTCGAGCAGCTCGAGGAGGTGGACGGGCCGCCGCCGCCTCGCCTCAACGTGGACGAGGAAGAAGAGGACCGCGAGGAAGCTTTCTCAGAGCTGCGGGAGCGGCTGCGGGGCTGCGAGGAGACGGTGCGGCGGCTGCGGGCGGAGAATATCCTGACGGGATTGGCGGGGCCTGCGGCGGGCGGGGACGGGGGGCTGCCTCCCGCCGCCGGATCCCTTCCGGGCCAGGCTCCGCGCCCTGCGCTGCTCCCGCGCAGCCCGTGAGGCCGGGCGCGGGTCTGTGAGGGGCCGCTGCCCGCGGTTCGCCTCGGGTTCAGCCCACGGGCGCTGCTCCCGCCGCTCGGGGGACGGTTTTCTCTCAGTGCAGCCTCAGTGTGCCCTTCTCCTCTTGGCTGCGGGGCTGTTGAGGTCTTGAGTGCTGGAACAAGTTAAAACACCTAACGTTGCACTCAATCCTTTCTGCTTTCGTGAAGAAAAGGAATCCGTTTTTAACAGCGCTAGAAAAAATTTTAAACTGCCAAATGGTTCCTTGAGGAGCTGCTGGGATGGACACCAGCAGCTTCACATCTGAGATGTCCTCTTTACAGTTAGTTCTCTATATACAGACGTCTCACCACTCACCCTTTTGTGATGTATTTTGGTCTTTTAAATACAAAAAGACACTGACAATTCAAGCAATGTTCTGTGCACTTTTTGTTAGGTGTTTTCTTATTTAGCCCTGCAATTGGTTAAGGTGCTGTTGTGTCTTCTGAAGAAAGCAATGTTCCTTAACGAGAAGGTAACATCAAGAACTTAAAAGAAAGCTGAATATTCTGACTCGCCCTAGGTATGTTACTACTGGTTTTCAGTGCTTCTGTCCAACACCGTTCTCATAAAGTCTGTTAGACTTCAGAGTCAAGAATTTCATTTCAATTACTCTATTTATGTATGCGTATACGTATGTATATGCATATTAATGTTCATTTGTTTGTGATGTGGCCTTTAAGGAAAGGCTCCTGTACTTTTTGTAAAGTTTGGCAGCAAGAGCAAGCATGTTAGAATAGTTACATAAGTAAGAGAACTATTCTGTTGTTCTCCAAGTAGTATCTAGTCATTTGATGGCACTGTGAGATGGATCTTAATGCTGTTTACTGCATTGTATTATGTGCTCTTAGAAGAAAACTTTTGTGTTCTGTTTTCTGTTCTTCTCGTCTCACGATGAGCCACAAAATACTTTGCTCAGAGGAGAAGGATTTTTGTTTAAGGTAATAGGAACTTCCTAAAATAATGGAACTTGCATTGGCCAAACATTCCTCTCTGGAATGCAGACTCTTCGCTGTGACAACTGAATAGGGTGCATTTACAATAAAACTGATGTAATAACCATTTATATATTTGTTCTGTTCTTGTAGTGGAATTTCAGTGGACAACTCAAAAATTGACGGGCCTCTGTTGCAGATTTTATTTATGAACAATGTAATTTCTAAGTAAGTATTTCAGCTTTCCAATAAAAAAATCCTGGTAGGAGGCCAGACATTAGTTTTTGTTTAGGTATGTTTGCCCAAAGAATATATGTCATATTTAGTAACATACACTTGTTAGTGTGCAGAGGACAAAGGGTAGGAATTAGCAAAAGACGAGAGCTCTCCTGTGTTCAGTAGCAATGTCTGTATTTATTGTAAAATGAAGTGTGACTTGTTGGAAGTCTTGAATAAGAGTTTCTGAAGTGTTGTTGGTAAATACAGTGCGTTAATTGCTCCCTGCTTCTCAGCTGAGAGTTGTCTGCCCTTTGTGTTAATCCTGAAGTAGTAAATAACAGATGCTTCAAAAGATGCTTTCTGTGTATTTCAGTCTTGCTCTTTTCTTCACCTTTTTATGCTTTACTCTGTTGCAGGCAGTATCATCAAGAAATTGAAGATTTTGTTTTTAATTTAGTTCACAAATACGAAGAGCAACAGAGAGATGAACAAGAAAAAACACACTTCAGTCTTAAGCCTCAGGTACTTTGAGTGGTAATACTGAAATTTTACACTGTTAAGTTGCTAAATTCTAGATGTTTTTTTTTCTATAACTGCAAATCAGGTAGCTATCAAATAAATGTTATGAAGCTGTTTATTCCAGGGTAAAAAAAAAAAAAAAAAAAGAGGACCATAACAAAAAAAAGAAAAAAAGAGAAGTGATCTGTGTGATATTTTGGACTGTGAAAATCATTATTATTAACATAGATATCTCTATTTAACTAATGTGACAAGAAAAAGAAGTTGTACTCTATGTTTTGTGCCTTTTATGTACTTTGGTAATTTTGGAGCTCTTTTTTATACTGTCTGCTATTTTTAATCGTGGACTTCTGTTTTTACTTTTCATCTCAGCCCTCCAGTGTTCTTTTAGAAGAGGACTGTAAAACAGCAAGCTCGAATTCTGTTAAAAAAATTAAGGAAGCTTTTAGTGTAAGTTTTTGACTATATGGTCTTGAACGGTAGGTCTGACTCTTCGTTCTACATATTTAATACACACTAGCATTAAGATAAAATCTCATTAAATTTCTTGTATCAGTGTAATAGCAGTAAAGTTCAGCATGTTTTGGCCACTTCAGTGGAAAAAAAGTGCTGATTTGTACAGGCATGGGTGTGTATTATTTGTAAATATCTACAGAGTGGGTGAAAAACCTGGAAGAATTCCAAGTGGTGTAAATTTCTAGAAATGCTACCGATAATCTGACCTAAATACTGACACCTTTCTGACAATTTTCTGACTTTTTTTCTACAGGTTGTAGGAAGTGTTCTGTATTTTACCAATTTTTGTCTTGATAAACTGGGACAGCCTATATTAAATGAGAATCCACAGCTGACAGAAGGATGGGAAATACCTAAGTATCCTGTTTGCTAAAACAAGGGTCTTTATCTGTTTGCCAAATCCAAAGAGTGCCAGTTTGGTAAATTGAGCTCAGATTCATTTCAGTAGATTGTACATTACTATTAAAACCCCATCAGTTGTTATAGATGAAAAGTTTTAATGGGAAATTGGTGGATTTTGTTCTCAGAAGATACAAGTGTTTGGGTATGATTGGCTGACTGATTTTGAGAAGAGTGAATGTTGTGCTCCTGTAAATATATCTTGTGAATGTAGGGCTTTCCTGGGTCAGTCTGCAGTTAGATTTGGAAAGAAAGTCCATTCCAGATACAAGTAAGTGGTTTCCCTCTGTGAAATCTCTAATATGGGAGAAGAAAAGGGCTCAGCAAACTCAAATATTCTCTAAAATAATTTTTTCCAAATCTGGGATCTGGGAGAAAATCTTTTAATAAAATTTAATTATGTGATGTTCTTACTCTGCGTCCATTTTAAAGGTGGTTCTATGCTCTGTACTAAAGCCAATATTTAGAAAGTAGGATTGAGGGAAATGTGAGAAAACGTTTTTTAATATTAGAGTCCTTGATGACAAAAAGAAATTGAACAAGATATTTCTCTTCTTTTTCCCTTTAAATAATCCCATCTCCCCAGTTTCCTTACATTACTTTGGCAACAGGAAGAGTCAAGAGAAACAGTTTCACAGTTCGTTTCTGCACTATCTAGTTAACAAACTTGTCATAAAAGTAACTCCCTAGTGTTAGAAAATGACTTGTATCTGAAAAGAAATTGTAAATTAAAAAGCCAGCTAATCTGGCTTTTCTTGTGGCTGCCTTTGAACTGTGTATGGACTGTGCTGTAATTTTACATTTGGAAGCTGCCTGTTGTAATGTATTAAGTCAGTCCTCTCCAAATGATATTCCCAACCTTCAGATAAAGAAGTGGATGAGCAACTGGAGAATTTCTCCTGAAATGTAAAGTTAACCCTGGCTAAACTTTTATGTTTGTCAGCTTTGCCAAAGCAAAGGTTTTACTGTTCAAAATTACCTCATCTTTCTTTAGAGCTCCTGTAGTCACTGAGCCTAAAATAGCACTTAATAGTGAGTTAAATGGTGTATGAAATACCATGGTTCTAAATGACTGAAGTACCAAACAATGTGTCAAACTAGTATCTGACATCTGCTTTTCTTTTTAAAAGCAACTGTTAGATTCTGGAAAGTACTGTGCTTCTGAACTTTACCTCTTAAGTCTCTTCCATGCTGATTCACCTGTGGCCCTCTTCTCTTCTCATACTTTTCTAGACAGATAGGCAGAACGGCTAATGATATGATCTGTCTATGCTTAGTTGAGATGTGAGTTACAGTTTTGAAACTCTACCAAAATGTATTATTAATAAGATTGATATAAAGTATGTCAGAATAAGTAGTGTGAAACTTCTGCCTATGAGCAAGAGGGCTCCCGTTCTAGCAAGTGCTTGTAAAGAACAAAATAGCTTATTGGATAGAAATTGGGTAGTAGAAAACAATACAAGCCCATCCTAGCAAATATAGTGGATATAGTTTTATAGTTTATAATTCTGAAGTGCTGACTTCACATTAAGCACCATCTGTGTCAATGTATCGTCAGTCCAGAAAAGTCAATATTTTATGCAAAGCCCTAGTAGGTTTTCATTGATATTTTAAACAAGATTGAAATTTTGCTTCATCCAGTAGCAGTTCCTTATTGAAATCTAAAGATATCAGCAAGTTTTCAGCCAGATTCTCTCCCTAGATG